GGGAGTTGTCATTTTCCTCATCTCTAGGTTGCAACGTTCTTTTCACTTGTGTTTGATTATTAGAGTTATGTAAAATCAAACCAAAGTAACTGAAATCGGTTAACTGTACTCGTATGGATCAAGAAAATGTTAGATCAATTACATATCTTAATAGTCTTTTGCAGGTCATTTAGTTATACATGAATCTCCAGCGTTCTTTCATGCTGAAATACTAGTGGATATTTCCTTCTTTTCTAGAAGATATATCTGAAATTGCAGGAATCTTGGCACCATGATCAAAAAGTTTTGTATTTTCTACAGCATGTCTTTAAATGATTATTTTCCTTCATTAGTTGGTGTTGAGTGGTGTTATCTCACGTTGGTTACTCGCATTAGGTGTTCTATGGTCTTAGACTCTCCATATATAGCCCGTCGGTTTTAGGTTAAATGTTTAACATGTTATTAGCGCCCAAGGTGGTCGTGTTCTTGTTGCATCTTATGAGTTTGTAATGTAGTGTGCCCTTTAGTATGGTAGTAGATTGCTTTTAGAATGGTAAAAATAGGTTCCAAGGGGTAACTAGGGTTTGAACCCTGTGTATTGGTTTGACATTTTAAATTACCTCAGCATTGAGCCATCGCAGGGAATGCTGGGAGAGTATCATAGTTTGACTAGGAATTAACACACATTTAACTAAAAAGCATAAAATTTGAGAGGGTCAACCAAAATACATCATGGAATTTGCTTTATGCTCCGTTACGAAAACCTATGCTGCTTATAATCGGATATTGAAGATACTTGTTTTTTTTCCTTTAATTACTATTATTATTATTATTATTACTATTATTATAAAATAAATAATTATTTACAAATGTTATTACAGGCTCAATCAAGACTGGACCGGCCCAGTTACAAAAGACCCAACAGGCCCAATAATAAAACCCTAAACTAGATTAGGGTTTTCAGCTTCTCCTGCCGCCTCAATCTCAGTCGTTGGATCTGGTTTAGATCCAACAGTCCCAGATACTTCCAGATGCAAAACCTAAGGTATGATACCATAGGGCCACGTCCCAGCCACCGCTTTTGCTATCTCTACCGCCACCGTTCCACGCCGCTCAGTCTCTGACACGAAGCCTCCAGAAGAATTGAAGAGGACCGTCCATATTGAGGGCTACGGTGAGTCACCACTATAGTTTGGTGACTCACCACAATACAACCCTTTTACCCGGTCCAAGACGAGCGTCGTTGATGGCTATAAAGCCATCAACCAAACCTGCAAAGAGAAGACAGAGAGAGGGTAACCAGGGAACCAACAACACAGCAACAAAAATAAACAAAACCAAAGAAAAGAAAAAGGATAGAAGAAGAAAAGCTTACTGGAGAACCTCAAACGTCGCCGGAAAACTGAAAATAACGAAGGTATTTTCTTAGATTTAGGAAAATCTATGGCTTTTTAGGGTAAAATGAGGTTCGAATTGAGTATAGGGTCTTTGGATCTAGGGTTTGGGAAATTTTGGTGTTTTCCGACCACCGGAAACGGTGGCCGGCAGTGAATTTTGCGACGACGTAGGGCTGCCGGATGGGGCTCTCTCTCTCAGTTTTAGAGAGAAGCGAGAGAGAGTTTAAACTCTCTCAGTTTAGAGAGAGAAAAGAAAAGAGAGAAATGAGGAATTGGCCCGGAGGGCCGGTTATAATGGGGTATAAATACCCTCACCAAAACGACGTAGTTTTGGTGAGGGCCTTTGTGTAATTTCGTACATGGATAAGCTATTCCCGCGGACACTGTAACTTTGAAAACTTGCAATTTGATCATTATAGCATATTGTTATATATATTATAATTCGATCTATTAATTTTTATTCATTATAATTTAGTCATTGATTTACTTATATATATTTTAGGTAAAATAACTGATTTAGCCCTCATAATTTTATTAATTAATATTTTAAACCCCGAATAACATGTTTTAATTTCTTTTAATTTGATATACGAATTTGATATAATTTTAATCTAGTCACTAAATTAATAAAGGGGTAGAATAGCATGTTTAGCCACTGAAATTTTAAATAATTAATTACGAATTAGATATTTATTTTTAATATATTCTAATTTAGTCATTAGTTTTAAATTATTAATCATTTTTATATAGTTTTAATTTCATTTATTTTAGTTGTTGATTTAATTCTATATGTTTATTTGTAATATATTATTATTAGTAGTATTATTATTACAAATATATATATAATAAATAATTATTTATTTTATTTTTCTTTTTATTAAAATCTTTATATGAATTATTTTTTATATAGAATAATAATAATAATCCTATTTTAATAATATTAAAGAAAATGACTGTCTTAAAGCACCTAGAAGTTCGTTTTCTGATATTTCTACCCTATAAAATATATTATTTTTAAGAAATATTTTATTTATATTTATTTTTTAATATCGAAGAAAAGAGATGTCTTAAAGCACCTAGAAGTTCTTTTCTGATATTTCTAAATAAATAAATATCTTATTTATATAAAAATTAATAAATTTCCTTATAATTATACTAGTAAATTTGAAATGACATAATTATAGATTAAATATATTTTTGAATATTTAAATTTATAATAATAGAGACAAATTATAATTAATGAGTACCAAATTTTGGGCATTATAGGGGTGATAATCATTCCCTAAACGTAATCGACCACGAATCTTTTTTTATTAAAATTTTTTGGTTATATGTAGATCAGTTTTATCTTTTAAATTATGTTTTATTCAAAACTATTTTAAAAGATTGTTTTTAGGTATTTGACCTACCTAACCCAAAAGGTCAATGGTGACTCCCAAAATATTTTTTTAAATAAAATCATTTATTTATTCGTGTTATTTTTCCCGTCAAGTTAAAAATTTCGTGCCCGGATGAAAACCGGTTACGAAAGATATTCATTTTAGATTTAAAATTATTAGGATCAACATTTTAGTGTCTTTACATTATTGAGACAACTGCAACCTTTACTGTGAGAAAATGCAGGGCATCTTAGAGACAGGTGGGTGAAGCTGAAGATGCCTAGTTTGCATGTTACTGGGGCATTGGTCGGCATTGCCTGGTATTTACTCGATAAAAGGCATGCTTTGATCCGAGTAAAAATGGGAAAGGGGGCTTGATTTGGATATTTGGAGTCCGCGAGATGCCCTGGCAGCATAAATATTCATTTTCCTTTCCATATGGTTGGATTTACCTTTTTAATTGATTTATTTAACACGTTTAGTTGATTTATATTAAATTTCCTTTCAAACTCAAATATCAGATTTCTTTTTAAATTTTCGGTAATAAAGTTTTTTTCCCCTTCAAATGTAAATGGTGAGGAGTTCAAAAATGAGAAAAATAATGTATCCATTTCATGTTTATTAAATAACGGAATATATATTATACTAAGGAAAGGACAATTTTGAGAAGTTTTTATTTTCTTTCAATTTGACCTCTAACATTTGATTTATTAATTATAAACGTTTATTTTTAAAAAATAATTTAGGTTTGACCAGCAAGAATGCCATTTGATTTATTATTTATAAACGTTTATTTTTAAAAATAATTTGGACTTGACCAGCAAGAATAATCTAAACGAGATGTGTGTACATGACAGTGATGTATTGTGTTAATTGTATAAAAAATAATATATATATATATATATATATATATATAATCAAAAAATTCATATTATACTACTTAGTTCATCAAAATTCATTTATAATTTTAAAAAGGCTTAAGGACTACCTTTTGTCAATGTAGTAAACCTAATTTAATTATATCATGTTTGTTCATATGGTATTTTCGAATCAATTTAGCTCGAAGTTATTTAATTATATATATATGTAAAATATTTGTTATTGTTTACGGATTAAGTTAGGGTTTAAGATCTAGAATTTAGGGTTTATAATTTAAGATTTAAGATTTAAGGTTTAGAATGATGGACTAAATTGATACGAAAATATTATAGTGGAGAAAACAATAGACTCAAATGTTGAAATAAACTTTTCAGAAAACGTGAGCAGAATAAGAACGCGGGTAAGGTGTAGAAGATGTTAAGAGGTTTGGTGACCACCCATAACAAGGTTTGGTATGTAATTAGCGGAGGAGTACATAAGTTGTGGCAGCACGTGAACCATTCGCACATCTCATGGTTAGTCAAAGCCCGCGAAAGAAGAGTAGCGTGTAAAACGTTCTTCGCTGCAAACACACGAACAAAATTTTCCAACAAACAAATGTGAACAAAATAGAGATGGAATGGAAACACAGTTGGAGCAATCCCAATACTCGGATACCCATGCCGAACCTTGACTTCAGTCCACCGCTAACTTCCGTCACTCTACCGAGCACCACCAAAACCCAAACCATTGACCCACCGCAATCAAGCTAAACTCCATGTTACTAGTTTGATTCTTTTTTAACATTAAAGTTTTTAATTGAATTAATTATATTAACCGATCTTATTAAACCTCAGAGGTTTAAATACTTTCCAAGATGTAGCTTTTTCCATGAATTACTCTCTGAATTTAAAAATTACAAAATAATTATTATTTTTTGAACGATTAGAAAATATTATTAATCACTAAATTTTATTAAAATATTAAAGTAGTATTGGAATATTATTAAAAATCTATAATTTATTATTAATTATTTTATATATTTTTAAAAAAATAACATAAAAATGATGAAATGAAATACTTGTATTAATTTGACCATGACTAAAACTAGAATGGTCCATGATATAAATTTTCAAACTCATCTCCACCTCATCAAAAAGCCATTTTATGAATAAAAACACCAACGTTAGGCCTCTGCGTTGCTGACTCGTCCATCCCATCTCAATCCGACGTGGTCCCACATGTTCTGCACCACTAGCCAATTATTATTTGCCACCTCAGCACGGCAATTTGTTTTTTGTTTTTTTATTCTCCTTTCTTTTGCCTTTAAATCCCCAGCTTACCCGCCGTCTCAAACCTTCTCTTCTTATCTTCTCGTTCACTCTGCAAAACTCTGGCAGCCCTTTATTTAAAGTTTTGGTACCATTGATCTGTTTCCCTTTTAGATTAGCTAGATTGGGATCGAACATAAGGCATTGTTTGGATATTCAACCATGGAAATCTCAGTTATCAACAGAATCAGCGATTTTGAAGCTAGCATAACCTCGCTAAACAACCCATCTTTTCTTTCCCAAATTTACGCTCTTTCTGGGATTCAATCTTTCCATTTTTGGAAATGGGGAGCCTTGATTCTTGCCCTACTGGCCTCCTTATCTACCTTAATCAATAGGCTCAAGGTTTTGATAATCAGGTTCCGACGAAACCATTCTTTACCGAATCAACCCCTTCTTTACGGAACGGAATTCGATACTGACACGGACAGTTCCTCTTGTTCATCATCGGACGACGAAGGAGAATATGATGAGCCCTCCACTTCTCAGAACTGGCGACAAGTCGATGAGGATTTTCGAGTTAGGGGGTCGGGTCATTTCATCGACGATCAGTGGAGGAACGATCGTTTCGCGCTACGGAAGAGGAGAAGCAGCATCGGCGATCTATTTTCTTGGGCTGAAGAGCTAACCACCGGTAAAAGCGTGGTGAAGCTCTGGGATAATCTCGGATTAGGGTTCCGTTTTGACCTCGATGAAAGCGATAACGTTCTGAACGTTTACGACGTTAACAAGGAGACGAAAATCGGGACGATTTGCGGGGGTAAGAGCGAGTTTCAGGCGGTTTCAGCGCCGTCGTCGTCGTTGCCAGCTGTTGTCGTATCCGCCGTCGCAGATTCTTCGACTGGAAGAATCGCTGTCAGTGCATGGGACACGCGCCTTCATTGCCGGCAACCGGCGATTCTCACAGAATGGAGCCCCAAAAAACCAATGGAGAAAATCTCAGCGGTCAATGCTAACGGCGTCGATAAGGTTTACGTCAGGGGTGACGTCACGGGGAAGTTAACGGTCGGTGATATGAGGAAGGCGAGCTCGCCATTAAGGAACGTAACGGATTCCGACGTGGATACATGGTGGGATGCTGATGCCGTCATCGGTTCGGACGAGTCAACGTGTCTCAGTTAACCCCGTTTGTTTTGAAAGAATAAAACCTGGTTAAAATGTGAACAAAAAAAATGGTGAATGGTGGAAGGACACCTTCGTAAATATTCATTTATCATAATATTAAAACTAGTGGCAAAAATCTGTACGAGTAATTTTCAAAAAAATAATTTTATTTTTAATAAAAATAATGAAAGTATTGTTTTATAAAATATACATTTGATAATTTTTTGACCTATTTGATATCACTTGTGATATAAAATTCAATTAATTTTTAATGTGTAAATTATACGATGTGTGTGTATGTGAATTTGTATATGAAAAAAATGACATGCGTATTATGTATCAAAATTATATTGCACCAGTATTATTCATAAAAGTAATTTATGCACTTTATAAATGGGTCATATACATTTATGAACACGTGTTAATGATTAATGTACTAAAAATATTATCATAAATTATCTCAACCCCAAATTTTATCCCTCTAAGAAATAGTGATTTTAATTTAACCTCTTTAAAATTATACGGTAATATAATTACAAAAGTACATTAATGTTTTGCATGCGGTGCAAATTGTTTTGTTGATTAGCGTATGTATTATTTTCATCCATCTAAATTAGGAAGGTTTTTAATAAGACGTGCGTTAATATTTCCTTGTATGATTTCTCCGGTAATGAAATCATACTCTTTACCGATAAAAGAACATTAATACTCCCTCGTGTCTCTAAAAAAGAGCAATTTAGGCTCCCACTTTGCTTTGGAAAAAGGATTCTAACTTACCATATGATAAAGACCTTGATTGAGGATTGTTTAATTATATATAACCAGACAAGCAATTGAATTCGCTGGATTGATAATGAGATGGAACTACCCTAGACAAATTCTCACCAAATTTCTGGCTTCCCTTTGCTTTCAATTATTGCTTAGATTTCCTGATAATCGGCTACGACAAATCATTTCCCAAACCGCCTAACTTTTGCGACCAATCTCTCTCCGATTTTGAGTGATGAAGCCTTTAAACTCACCGCCCCTTTGCAGCTAACGTCTCATTCTGAAATCAATCTTCAATGAAATCAATTTTATTTTTGTTTTAATTAACTTCACTCCTATAAAATTATATATATATATATATATATATATATATATATATTAAATGCTTCATTTTTTACAAGTACATTAATATTAAAAAGATATAAATTATACCCGTGTTCTAAGTACAAACTAACAAAACTGAGCATGAACCAAGTGACCTCGGTGGTAAAAGAATTGTTGTCATTCCTTGAGATTTTGGATTCGAGCATAAGAAATGCCAAGAGAATGAGCATTTAATGTCTAATGATTGAGAATTATCTTTGAACGAATACTACTATGAAATTTATATACTAAAACTGCTAAGAAATTTGGTGGGGATTTTGGTCCCTTGTTTGTTTTCAAACCAATACATATCCATTTGACACCAGCACTAAAATCTAACGGCGTTGTTAAGACCATTCATTTAGGAGTGCAACTGACCTGCACGGCTGCACATACAAAACTGGGATAGTAAAACGACACCAACATTTACATCTAAAACCTTGAATCTCCATGCAATAACAGTCCAGTTTTAGCAAGCCGTTTATATGCAAAAACTACAAAATATTTTGTCAATCTTAAGTTGGCAGACGGAGTTCTTAATGGACAAAGAAGCACTGACATTCATTCTATTTTAAAATGGGCCTAAAACAGAGAGCAGCCACACATACTTTTGCTGTAAACGCTGTGGTTCATATTATCCCACATCGAGTAGGGAAAACCCCTCTAATTCATCTTTAGAACCTTCGTTTTCCAATCCTTATTATTCAGTAGAAGACGTGTCTCTCGCATGTACATGTTATTGATGCTTTGCCCCATTTTTTGACTCATCATTATTAATAGTTTTAATAGTGGAATGACTAAAATGGATTTTTTTGGTGACCAAAGTTCAAATAACCTAAAATCGCATGACCATTATTGCAGTTTATCCTTAATTTTATACTTCATTTCTTAAACAAATAAACTGAAACTAGGAGTAGCATTTTTGTTTTTAGTCAAGATCACAGAGAAAAGAAAGAAGAAAATCACTTTTATTTTACTAAAATATGCATATGTTGTTAAAAATAATATTTACAACAAAAAATAATTAAAAATATTATTAAAAAATATATCAACGAGGCATTATCAATTATTTTTGTTTGAGTCATTAAAAACTATGGTTATCAAAATCGGACCGGATCGGTCGATTCAACCGATTAAACCGTGAACCGGAGCCGATGGCCTATCCGGTCCGATTACCTCACAAAATCGGTCTGGCAATGAACCGACTAAAAATCGGTAGAACCGACTGAAAACCGATAAAACCAGGGTGAACCGACTGAAAACCGGCAAAACCGCCGGTTCACTTTTTTTCTTTTAAATTTTTTTTTAAACCAAACGACGCCATTTGTTCAACGAGCCAAGTCAAATTCGAGTATTGCTGAGCTCGACTCGAACTCGAAAACTTTAAAAGTAAGCTCAACTCGACTCAAAAACTCACGAGCTAAAAAATATCAAGTTCAACTCGAACTCGAAATATAATATTAAAACTTGAACTCGAAAAGGCTCGAACTCAAAAAAAAATTAGAAGTTCGATTGAAGCCTAAAATTTGAGCTCAATTGAAGCGAAAGAATAGTTCGCTCTGTGCTCACCAAAAGGCTCTATGATTTTGAATGTCAAACTACCTCTATTATTTATAGAAGTAAGTTGGATGCTCTTCTATGTTTCTTAGCCATGTGGGATTATTTTGTTCTTATATTTTTAATCTTTAAACTTTTGGGATGCTCTTCTATGTTTCTTAGCCATGTGGGATTGTTTTTTTTTATAAAAAAAAATAAACCAAATGACATCATTTGTTATGATTTTTTTAAGCCCTAACTTTATTTTTTTCATTATAGTTATATAATTATATTTATTATTTAATATGTTTTACCTTAAATATTATGTTGTAGTTGATTTGAATCATTTTGTTTCACTTGATTTTATGATTTTTAATTTATATATGTTATGACTTGTGATATTTTTATATCTTTTAATATTGTAAACTTAAAAAAAGTGTTACATATATATTAATATTGCTTTGAATATTATGTAAAATTAAAAAAAAAATTATTTTATATAAAATTCGGTTCAACCGCGGTTGAACCCGGTTGAACCAGTGAACCAGTACTTTCACCGGTTCAATGTCCGATCCGATTTTAAAAACATTGTTAAAAACGAGAGTAAAATCATAAATATCACAAATCCAAAATAATATTTTTTTTATCTAAATATATAAGAATGTGAATCCAAAAATAAAAAAACTTTTTATCCATAATCTTAAATTACACAAACTAAGCACAAACCAACTTATCTCAGTAGTTAAAATGAACAATTGTTATTACTAGAGCTCATGGGTTCAAGTACCAGCGATTCATTAGGGGGATTGAGCGTTCATTTTCAAATGCATGAGAGTATTTAGAACAAATACTAATTTATAATCACTTTAGCTTAATAAAAAAATATTAAAACCAAAACGTTTATTAAATTTATAAAAGGGTAAATTACACCAATCATCACCGAACTTTACTCTCTCTCCTATTTCACTCGCTGTCATTAAATTCGTTTAATTTTCTCACTGAATTTAACATAATTACATTTTTTCACTTAGTCATTTTCTCACTAAACGACGTTATGAATGAGTTGTTAGATAAATGCAAAACGACATAATTTTGATGAAATTTTGTTTTTTAAAATGACATCGTTTTAACACCGTTAAGTATTTAACGACTTGACAAAAAAAATACTAATTATATTAAATTTAGTAAAAAAAATGAATGGATTTAAAGTATAGTGAATGAAATAGGAGAAAGTGCAAAGTTCATTGATTATTAGTGTAATTTACCCTTTATAAAATTTGTTGGTGAAATTGTATTTCTTTTTTACTTTTCTTTACCGTGTATGGTCAATTCAAATGTTTAGTGGATTGAGATAAACTTTTTTCAAAGCACACTTTTGAAGTTTTAATTTATTTTGGCATTAAAAGAAAAAAGCACGTGGATCTTGACCTCGGGCAATAATTTAAGAAAGGATAAATTACATGCTTACTCATTGAACTTTACTCTCTCCTATTTAATTCATTTTAATTTTAATGTTTTTAATTTACTCCCTAAATTTTAGACATTGAACTTTTTTATCACTCTGCAATTGAACTTTTTTATCACTCTACGGTTAATTTTATAATGACATTATGACGTGAATACATAAATAGTTTTTAAATCATTAAAAGATTTCACAAATGACACGTTAAAGAAAAGGTAAATTATTTTTGCTTTTGCATCTTTACTCTTTCTTTCTTCCTTTTTCTTCTCCCATTTCTCTCTCAATTTCTCTGGTATATGAGTTTTTTCTCTAATTTTCTTCCTTTTTCTTTCTCCATTTCTCTTCATTTTTACTCTTTCCTTTTTCTTTCCTTCTTTGTTTTGTTGTTTCTTCTCCCATTATTCTATGTTTACTATCTTGAAAGTTAAAATATATTGATAGAAAAAAATAAAAAAAAAATCAACAATGGAGAAAGAGAAATGAATTTATCGGAAATAATGGATACCCCATAAAAGGCTCATATCACCACTCTACTCTCTAAGTTTGAGATACACATTTTCTTCAACTATTTTTTTTTAGGAAACTCTTTTTCTATTTTTTATTTTTAGTTGCTTTCTTATCTACTGCTTGTGCTTATTTTTTTAGAGAATTGATCTTCATCTTTTCTGGGTTTTATTTTCATTATATTATTTTTTGATTTGTTTCTTCCGTTAATGGGGAAAGATTGTGAAGAAGGTGTGAGAATGAAGAAGATTGGGGAATTGTTCATTTAGATTTTGCCTTCAACTTGCTTAGAATCCATGATTTTTTGTTGCATTGGTTTGATCCAAATTGATTTTTTTTGGGATTTATTTCGTCAAACACTGTATGTTCAAATGAGATTAGGGGAGAAATGGAGAGATGAGGCGAGGAAGAAGAATGATGAAGGAAAGAGCCAAAATGAAAAAAAAAATATTTAGATTAAAACTACGTCTCTTTTTCTAATTTTAATTTTTAGTTGCTTTCTTATCCACTGCTTGTGCTTATTTTTTTTTTTGTGAGAGAATTGATTTTCATCTTTTCTGGGTTTTATCTTTATT